TAAAATGCAAGATAATATAAAAGTAGCACATATGGTGTTTTTTCCTATACGTAAAGAATCCAATGATTTAATTTTCTTTTCATATTATTATTATTGATAGCAAATAAATGTATTTAAAATGTTTTCTACAGAACTTTGGGGAAACAGTCTTGAAAATCAACGAAACTTGCTATTACACTAGATAACAGTCGAAACCTTAGTGTATGTAGATTATTCAACGGTTTCCCTGCTATTTGACAATCCAAAAGTAAGTTGAAGAAAAGCTGAGTATATAAAAGTCTACAAACTGATGGCCGTCGTAAAGCAGGATGGGTTTATCTTCCTAAAGGTTTTTATGCGCGAAACAGAAAGACCTTGCACTAACACAGAATAATAATTTGTTATTCGCAATGTTTTTAGATATTTTAGCTTGAAATACAAAGTGTATCGCTGTTTCTACGTTTCAAAAGCTTGAAATACAAAATGTATTGCTGATTCTACGTTTCAAAATAAACCCAATATTATAATTTTCAACCAAATTTAACTAAATTTAATGAAGAAGTAACTTCCTTGCACAAAATAACAGTCTTTTCATTGCATTATTTATTATGACAACGTTCATATCACAAAAGTTTTTGTTCGGGTGCCACTGTGGAAACATTTTTCCACTTTTCGAAGACAGAAAAGTGAGAAATAAACTGCTTCTTCACCGGGATTTGAGTCACAGGTCTTCCACTTTGTAGTTGAACATGCTACCACTTACAACAGCACTCATGACAAGCACGAGAATTCCTCGCTAAATGTAACTAGCCAAATATACATTAATGAAAACTGCGTCTTATAAAATATCTTTTTTTTCAATTCTACATCGCCAGCTCAATAGGTAATATATGAAAATTTAGAAACTAAATTGTTTCGTAGTTTTCCTTTGCTTTTCCGTAGTTATACCGTAAATAAAAGCCAAGATTTTATTTGGTACCGCCTAAAAAAGAATCTTATGTGCAAAATACAGCTAAATGTAGATCTGCAAATGAATTTTAAGTTTAAATAAAAAGTAAATTAGGGGAAAAAAATAGGAAAGAAAGATAAAAAAAAAAAGAAAGAAAGCAACAATGTAATTGCATTAAATGCGAAAAGTCAAAATATTCATTACGCAAACTTTAAAATAATAGAAAAAAGCAGGCACTTTTTTATTTGAAATTCTGAAATTTTTTTGCTTACTTTTTCTAACGGTGTATGTGTATGCCGACACTTCCCTGAAAAAATTGGCATTCCCATATGAATTATTTAAACTTGCGCATATTTTCCAGCTCATTATTATGCAGATCCAAGAAAACAGATTTTAGCACATGTGTCAGTTCTCAAAACTGCCCCCCCCCATTATCTTTTTTTTTTTTTTCCACTTTCAAATTTATATTTATTTATGTAATGTTAAATTTGTACCCCTTTTTCTTTTTTTCTTTTTTTTTAACCCGAGGCATACGCTGTGCTAACATAAGCCTTGACTATGTAAAATATAATATTTGAAAATACAAAATTAAGAGTTGTAATGTTTACGTGCATTGTTATAATTTAAAAAGTAAAAGGTACAATTTACAAAGTGTTGAGTTCTGCATTAGTTTTCGCATCTCTAATGAAATAACTTCAAAGTCTAAGCAGATTATCTATAGTACTACAATTCGACTACCTTGAAATAATTATTCTTGCACTCTAAAAATAAATCAGCATATTTTAATATTATGTTTTCCATTTTCTTAATGGAAAATTTTTGTATCACAAACAAATGAAATGCATGGATCACCAGTTTTGCGAAGGTCTGTTGTTAAAGTAGACTTCAGTATCTTTCTTTTGATTAACAAATAAATCTGACAAGATTTTTATTTTACGAAGAAAGGTCAAAAGGGAAAGTATTGTTCAGCGTTTATTTCAAACAATGTTTCAAGCAGATTTGAAAAATTCATAGGTTATTTTCTCCCTCCCTCCAGCATGTCTTCGTGGTACACTCGGTGCGTATTCGAAAGGTCCGGGTTCGAAACTCGGCGACGGCATTGCATATTTTTCACGTCTCCTGCTTCAAAATAACCTAATAACTCTACAAATTATGATATAGCATAAGAGTTCAAGGTACTTTTTGCAAGATATTTAATTATTTGCCTAGGACTGTATGGTATAAAAAAAGTTTTACTCTTAGCAGACAAGCATACTACGTCAAACGCTTCGCATTAGCTGGAACACAAAAGCATTCGGCCTTTGACATTGGGCTAAATAGACATAGACTCTTTTTTTTTTTTTTTTTTTTAATAGGCACAACAATATTATGGATGCAGATGATGATAATAAGTAAATGTGTGATCTAAAATACGATCATCATTCTTTCTATTTTATGCAGAAAGCTGTGCAATCCGCCATTACTTTTACGTCTACTATTGTGTTCGTTCTGCTTTTAATTTTGCAAGCTGACTATGCATTGTACATATGTTATTTCTGTTTATATGGTTTACATATTTATGATATAATTATATTTTTCTATTATTTCTAGTTTTGAGTGATTTTTGATATGATATAATAATTTTTTAGAAGACCTAGAACAAATAAAATCTCATTTCCATAAATTAATGTTACTGCTGTTAGTTATTTTCCTTAACTGAACCTCAGTCATATCATGTCCACGAATTTTATACTGCCCAAACGAAAGAGGTCGTTTGGGCAGCACAAACGCCCAGGCCTGGAGCAACGATAACTTCGTTTATCGCTGGTCTAGACCAGGGCAATTGATAGATTACAGTTTGAATTTGCCCAGCTCTATTGCAGTTTTATTGGAGAATCCTCCTAGGGAACGCCTTCGAAGATTTTTCTGTCTTTCTTGCCCTGCCAGCAACATGTCGCGAGCAAGAACTTTCGGCTCGAGAGTATTTTATTTGCTCCCATGCCGTAAAGACATTACATACTTATAAATCTTCATGCCTTTCAGGGATTCGAATTCAGGCCAAGGGCTATGATAGTCAGCTCCCCTATCAGCATTCGAAAAGAAGGGTCGTCACAAATTTAGTGATAATTGCATCTTTGCTTTACGCTATTTCAGCTTTTGAAATTATGTAACGCGAATGGTTGAAACGTATATAAGATTAGCTTAAGGTAGAATACGTATATCTATCTATTTATCTATCTATCTATCTATCTATATATATATATATATATATATATATATATATAGTTAAAATTAAAGAATATTTTTTTAAAGTATGATGTATTTTAAATACGCTTCAAATTTTCAACAAATTTGTGCTTTTAATTAGGTAAGAAATGGTTATACTTTTATCAAAATCCCCAGACTCGCTTTTTGCTAATTTAAAAAAAAATTTCATCTTTTAAAAAGAGGCTGCTTAAGATTTAGTTCAGAGGAGTAGGGAAATTTACAATATTATTCAGGCGAGAAATTTTTTATTCAACGATACAGAAATATGTATTTCATGGAAAAATTTATGTTTCGAATGTGATTAAACATAAATAACATACGTTACATTACGTTAAACTTTTAAATAAAATGGTGTTATAATTTTTTATAAGAAATTGATAATTCAGGCTATTATTTTTATAGTCATCCATCAAATGTTCTCAGCTCCTCTCCCCCCCCCCAAAAAAAAACCTTCATATTTCCTGCATGAAAGTATTTAAAGGGAAGATAAAGGAGAGCAACTGATATTAAATTTTACATTTCCAGAAGTCTTCAGTCGTAATAATTTGGTAAAATATTAATAAAATGGATCAGAGAAAGAGTATTCTGATGATAGTTCTAATGCTAACCCAAGAAAGGTCTTTTAAAATATAATATGGTGATTCAAAATGATTTGATTTAAGATAAATTCATTTCGGTACCAATGAAATGTTTAAGAGTCTGGCATACATCAAATGAAAAAAGGAAATCTCAAACCAATCACTTTTCACAAAATTGCTATCTAGTCTATCGAATCCTATGCTATGAGATTTGTTTCTTGGGATTACGTTTAACATTATATGTTATTCTTTGTTAAAATTGTCCACAAACATTGTCAATAACCAAGCTAAAATATTGCATCATAAGGATACACTAGTGGCCCGCCAGCGGCCGAGCGCTAAAAGCCGCTGAACACTGATAGTTTGAATCCGGGGTTCGAGTCCTGGCGAACGGGCTAGCTGCATGGGCGTTTTCGTGGTTTTCCCCTTGTGTAACGTGGATACGAGCCAGATTCCCTTAAAAAGACCTCCACGGTGCATCCCTCCCTTTCCGTGTAATGCCTAAGAGCGAAGCACGTAATAAGCAAAAAAAAAAAAAAAAAAAGGATACGCTAGTATGGCAAGAATGTTATGAATATTTTGTTGATTTTGTGTTGCTCGTGTAACTAAAGGAAATCGCATGAATCTTCTCTAGATGTAACTTGGATAGATGTGTTTCATTTTAGAGACCTTTGTGTTCATAAATTTCAGAAATAACGTCATTAGAATTCGGAGCAGTCATTTAAATCACCTGATACATTGAAACTCATACTATTTTTTAAAAATTTTCACAGACAAGGACTATTCAATGTAGATTTCACAGACAGAAACTAATGCAAAACTTTAACAACATTTAAAAAAAATCCTAATTTTAGTAAAAGTGTATACAAATATTATTTTTTTTCCAAAAATAAAATTTAAATACGAAAACTGGGTTATTTTTTGATAAATTGATAAATGAAAACCTATGACTATTGGAAAAACTAAAATATTTTCTTTCTCGCACTTTAGTGAATATTGAGGGAAAATACACTTAGCTCGCTTTAGAGCCTGAAAGGCAATTGAAAAACCAGCAAATTAATTTCGAATAATTCCCTTAAAAAAATTATCAAAGTTAAAAATCATTCAATTGCTTAAACACACACGGTCACAAAGCTTCTGAAATTACAACATTAAAACACCTTTATAATATATTGAAAAACTCTTAAAATTAAATTTCATTTTTAAAACAAAATTTCAAATGCAGTATAAAAATTCAAATTTCATACCTCCTGATGGCGGCACAATATATCCATCTAACAGTTGAATCTGGACCTGGTGCTGCGATGTTGATTCTGGAGTAAAATTCGGGGAAAGTTTTTTCCTGTTTCTCAGCGCATGTTCAGGTAAAGGTGGAGGGTTAGCAACAGGCGGAAATTTTGGCCTTTGAAATACGTTTGGTGCTTTTTTAGCACCTCCACTTGGTACTTCGGCAGAGCCAAAGTTCTTTATCCTTTGGTATCGAGATTGAGTTGGATAAGCACGCAGTGGTGGTCCTAAATTGCGAGGGGAATTCTGCTGAGGATTTTTCGTCTTCTGTACTCCTTGCAGTTGTGCAGGACGTGGAGGGTATAATAAAAGGAAACTTCGTCGTGTTTCTGACACTTCAGTATCTGATGCATTTCGAAATTTGGAACCTAATACTCTTTTAGCAAATTGAGTAGTGTCTAATGCTTCTGGTCTCAGCATCGGTTTCCAGCCACTGAACTGTACATCACGAATAGAAGATGTCGTTGCTTCCTCTGCTAAGGATAGATGAATCTCTGAAAGGCACTGCAATGCAACCATTAAAAAAATGGACAATAAATTTCCCCAATTATTAGCCATAACTGCTGTATATTGAATAACTTAAGTTTTGAGTTAAATTTACTTTATAAATTTTTCTGTGTTTAATACTTTAACGAGAGTTCGATGTTTTCTAAAGCAGAATATGATACTTGAAAGAGGCAATGTAGTTATTTTAGGATTTCAAATTTCAACAATATAACAAAAGTTATATTCACATTCAAACTAATCGGTGATTTCTAAAATTCTGATATAAAACGAAATCTCCAAATATTGTAACTAAAAATGTTATCCATTTTCTTGCAAAATTCTCAAACCGGATAAATAACTGCAGAGGGAAGGGTACGGAAAAACTTGCAATGACAATTCTCTTACTTTCTCATTCCGTACTTCAGCAATCAAATCTCCAAAAATTTCTCTGCTCGGTTTCTTATAAGTGCCGACCACGTGATATTCCTGGACTCTAATGCCCTTTCACCTTCGGCGTGACGTCACTGAATCCGAAGAAGCTTCTGAAGATGGTCCCCTAACCTCTAAAAAACTAGTCCAATCAAATACCGGGGAAGAAGTGGGAGGTATGGGAGAACGAGTCCTGTGGCCTACTTTTCCATTCTTCGTCCGTTGGTTAGAAATTCGAATTCGTGAATGATTCTTCGTAGGATTTTTTATGATTAGCTTGTTCTACAAAAGCGAAATAGTTTTCTTTTACATGAGACTAAAACCATTATTTCTTTATTTGTATAATAAGGAAGACGAAAGTGCAACAAACAACTTTCACTTCCGGGATCTTAAAATGATTTTGTGTTGCTTAATTTATGCAGAATCCATAAATCAAATGCTTATAATCCATTAAATGACTACTTGATGATATAGTTCCTTTAAATGAAAAATTATTATAATTCTTCCTAAAGGCTTTATTTTGGAAGCAAATTAAGTTGTTATTCATTAGTATCTAATTCATTGTGCCTCTAATAAAAAATAAGTCATAATTTCATATTTAGGTTACTTGCTCATCTTCAAAATTTCTAAAGAAATTAATTTTTGTTTTTGGATCTATATATTGTGGAAACAAAAAATTCATGTATATTAATTTTAATTTAGTAATAATGGCTGTCAAAGAGTTATTTATGTTACGGTAAATATGGCTATAAAATACGTATTAGAAAGCTTACCCCTCTCAGTTACGAAGTGCAGGAATTATGTAATAAGAGGTGTAATCCGAATAAATTATTATATAAAATACAGGCGAATTAACTACTTGAAGACATTAATTCGTCTGAAGGAGACATTAATTCGCCAGCAATATTAAAAACTCGATTACATAAATATAAAAGTGAGAAAAGAAATTTTTGAAAATTAGTTTCTCTTCGATCATGAAACGAAAATCACACCATGCGATATGTAATGTGGCGGAGGGGGTGCGCAAATTGACCGATCCTGGCAGACTTTACGTCACTCTATGGTCTTTTTATGGGTTGCTCTAACCATGCGTTATGTATTGTTGCTTACATTTTTTATTGGCCACAGGAGCATTTTTCAAAGATCAAATTTCCCTCGATTTCTAACTATACAAAATTCAAATGACGAAGAAATATATTAAAATGATTTTATTGATGAAGTACCTACATTATTTATAGCGTGCGAATAAAAGCATCTTGGAATGCAGTAGTCTATAATATTTTTAGAACAAAGGTTAAATCGATTCGCATCAGCGTAGGCGCTTGTGATCATCTGAAAAACCACCTCGACCTCAGATGAAAATAAGCGCAGTAAAGGATCATCGTTGTGTGAAAAACATTGTTCAATTCGTGCTACTTTCGTGGTTAGTCAGATCTTAGCATTGGTTTAAGAAGCACTTTTATAATCGATGTCATCACTCCGGAAAGTTGTCACGAATAGAAAAGGGTAACTCGATTGAGCAACGAGACGAAGAGCTCTTTGAAATTTTATCGCTTCTTTTTGTTTCAAGAACTTTATGAATAGAGATATTATATCTCTCCTACATTATTTTTTTCTCATAAATCTTGTTTTTTTTCCTTCTAAATAATACTGAGTATCTTTGAAATATTTACATAGGCTACCTTTTCACAGTACTTCTTAGTTTGCAATGTAACATAAATCTCTGCAAGTTAATATTGTCTTTAAAATAAGTGAATATGAGATCTTTATAGTTCTATCAAATTTAACACCTTAAAACATCAACATTTTACTTAAATTCGATACAATGCATTTAGAGGTACTACATGTTTTTATTGTTATTCTTATTTACGTGTTCCGCTCTACGAGTACTACGCGGATGGGAGGGATGCCTTCGTGGAGGACTTTCTAAGGTAGACTGGCTCGTATTAATACATTACACAAGGGGAACACCACGAAAACGCCCATGCAGCCAGCCCATTCGAGCCTCAGACCGAACTACCAGTGTTCAGGGACTTTACCGCTCGGCCGCAGGTGGCCAATTACATGTTTAACATCCATTTTATGAGGTTGCGAAATTACAGAGAAGGAAAAGCATTTGATTCAAAACTGAAAAATCTATCCCAGTAATCACTATTCGAAAGCACTTTCTCTGCTCTAAAAGTAGGCACATTGCATGGAGATAGAAGGCGTGTGATAGGTTGGTAGGCATTTTTTTACCTCCATCTTTAGTTTGGAAAATTTCCTTCCGGTCAAAGAGCTCATGATAAAACAGACCAGAAGAAACGACATTCAGCTAAGGTAAGGTTCCGGAAAATAAAGTTTATGAAATAAAATCTATCATTCAAATGATTTGTGATTTGGGTTGGGTCAGAACACTTACAGTATTCTTACGGCAATTAATCACCAATCTTACGTACGGAGGAGCTTTTATATTTTCTCAGTGCTGCGCGAAGAAGTTTTAAATGGTAAAGATAATGTCTACGTAAAGTACGAACTGGTAACAATTTCTCATAAAATATTTAACCTCGATATTTTCACCAATAATTCAACATTACTTTACTATTATTGAAGACGTGAAATATTAAGCTATATCACTCACATATATTCATCTGTCAGAAATGGATGCAATGTTATCATTCTTCTCAGGTACGCAGATTGACAAGGGTGACTTAGTAACTTTGCAAGTCAGTAGTGGTGAGACAAGACTTAGGCTACACACTTTCTGAGTTTTCAGGAATGTGCCAATTGCCGAAATCTTATGCTGACGATATTATGAGAAGTATTTAGTCACTTCTCTTGCAATTCAAAATAATTGCAGTATGTGGTTCAGAGCAGCATCTTGTACATTAAGTTCTGGGCACTCTTTTACAGATCTCGAACACCAATTTCTTATATTTTTGTACGAGTCCCCTAAGATAATCTTGGCATTGTCTCCGGGAGCTTTTATATTTTCCACATAGCTCTTTCATTTTCACACCATTCAAATAACCATAAAGTAATGCTGAACCCATACCTTCTGTAGATATTTTTTCCACGGACTGTATTTCTTCACCATAGCAAAACAATTAACTGTTACCGAATTCTCTTTCTCAAATTCAACAATCTAAGCCATTTATTTACCATCTGCAAGGTACAGGGGTTGGACAAAAATGTGGAAACACCTTTAAAAAAACATGTTTCTTTGCTTAATATGGTGTAGGAAACCTGTTGGCATCCAAAACAGCTTGCAGTCTTCTCGGAATGGATAAATACAGTTCCTGTATGTTTGCCAAAGGAATATTATACCATTCTTCCTGCAAAACGGTGGCAAGTTCAGATAACGATGTTGGCGGTGGATAACGAGAACGCACTTTCCGTTCCAATGTAGACCACAAAGGTTCGATAATATTCAGGTCTGGTGACTGTGGTGGCCAGGGCAGATGGGACAACTCATCCTCGTGCTCAGAAAACCAGTCCTGGACAATGTGAGCTGTGTGAACAGGTGCTTTGTCGTCTTGGAAGACACCATCACCATCGGGGAACAACGTTTGTACCATAGGATGAACTTGATCAGCCAAAATGTTCACATAAGTCTTGGCAGTCATGTGCCCTGACACAGTTATCATGGGGCTAGCAGAGAACCACGATATGGCTGCCCAAACCATAACAGAACCCCTGCCATGTTTCACTTTTGGCAACAAGCAGTCTGTATTATAGGCTTGAGATGGCGTTCTCCAAACGTAAACTCGGCCAGAAGTGGGAAACAATGTGAAAGAAGACTCGTCAGACCATATTACTCGCTTCCACTGCTCTATAGTCCAGGCTTTATGACTTAAACACCACCTTTTCCTGTTACGGGCATTAGCATCACTGATGAGTGGCTTCTCAATTGCAGCACGGCCAGCAATTCCCTGTTTATGAAGCTCCCTTCTAATTGTTTTGGTACTCACAGGGTTCGGTAACACAACATTCATTTCAGCAGTAACTTTTGCAGCTGTGGTCTTCTTATTTTTCGTCACAATTGCCCTTAATGATCGTCTGTCACGATCACTCATGACGCACTTTCGTCCGCGCTGTGATTTAGCAGATGATGTTTTTCCGCTTTTCAAATATGCGGAATAAATCTTCGATACAGTAGCTCTTGAAACACTAAACACCTCGGCTACCTTGCTTACGGAAGCATCTATCATACATGCTCCAACAATTTGCGACGTTCGAAGTCTGTTAACTCTGACATAATGCAATGACAACCTCACATAACAGTACTCCGACATCAACTGAACTGTTAAGCAGATTTACGAAGTTGTATAGGTGGCGTCAGTAGTCAAAAACGCCAGCGCCACCTACATATTTCATTAAAATCAATCTTTCTTTTCAAACATGCATTTCACAAGGTGTTTCCATATTTTTGTCCATCCACTGTATGTTCAGTAATTAAACATGTCCTACTGTAACTTCCTGGACATTTTCTTTGCTCTCTAAAGCGTAAAAACGTAACAGAAATAAAAGTTACCATACACACTTGGAGTAAAAATTTATACTCCAGTGTGTGTGGTAACACTGGATGTAAACTGGGATTTTCTTGACCTTATTGTGAAGCTGAGTTATAATCGAAGTTTTATAACAATTTTATTCACGGCATAAAGTTAACGAGTTATTTTTCTGCATTCCAAGGTTAGGCTAACAAAATTTATTATTAGTAACAACGAAATTTTCAAATGTATGTATGTATTTTCAGACTTTTAACCAATCTTAATGTTACCTTCAAAACTTAGAATAAAAATAGCATTAGAAACTGACTTTGATGAATTTACTGTTCTCATGACCAACTAAAACATCCTTATCGGTTTTTTTTATATATAAGATATTAAGACATATTTCTCCTGAAAAATACATTCCAAATGTTGTTTTGAACTTTTTTAGGTAGCTTATTTATCTACTGAAAGGATCATCGACCAATGATTCCGCAGGTTCTCTGATTTCCGTCTCAACCATAAGCAATTCAGGGATCGCTAAGCTTTTCGTAGATTATTAATGTTGCCGTCCAGTGTTGCAGTTGTTCGTGATCTAGAACACGCAATCAATTCAACCCACGCAGCTCTAT